ACATCTTGGAAAAGGCACCATTATCATAATGAATTTCACAATTTTGTTTTTGTGTTACAATCTGAATATTTTCATGAACAACTGGGTAAAATTATAAGATTACCTTTGAATACATTTATTGCAAGTTAGATGTTAGTCCCATTTTATATACCGCAATTGAAAACAGCCTGGACTTTACAGTATTTTACCTTTCTCTCTTTTTTTAAAAAAAGTAAAACAAACATTTAGGCTGTTCCTGGAAGCCTGAGTGCTTAAAATAAATAAAATTTGCCATTTTGAGATATGCAGAGCTTTAAATACCTAGTATGCAAATTTATGACTGCAAAGTACAAGTGCCCAAAGCAAAAGACCTAGGAAAACATAATAAATAACCCTCATCCATCTCTTCTCCACCCTAGGTCTTTTTGGATGCAAATACCAAACATACCTAGAAAAATAGCACTCCTTAAAAGGAGTGTGTCAGGGTTGTATTCTTTCTCCACACTTATTCAATCTATATGCTGAGCAAATAATCCGAGAAGCTGGACTATATGAAGAAAAACGTGGTATCAGGATTGGAGGAAGAATCATTAACAACCTGAGATATGCAGACGATACAACTTTGCTTGCTGAAAGTGAGGATGACTTAAGGCACCTACTGATGAAGGTTGAAGAATACAGTCTGCAGTATGGATTACATGTCAACATAAAGAAAACAAAAATCCTCACAACTGGACCAATGAGCAGCATCACAATAAATGGAGAGAAGATTGAGGTTGTCAAGGAATTCATGTTGCTTGGTTCTACAATCGATGCCAACGGAAGCAGCAGTCAGGACATTAGACGACGTGTAGCATTGGGGAAGTCAACTGCGAAGGAACTGTTTCAAGTGCTGAGGCGAAAGGATATCTCCTTGAGGACTAAGGTGCGCCTGACACAAGCCATGATATTTCCAATCGCCTGGTATGCATGTGAGAGCTGGACAATGAATAGGGAAGACCGAAGAAGAGTTGATGCTTTTGAGTTGTGGTGCTGGTGAAGAATGCTGAAAGTACCATGGACTGCTAAAAGAACTAACAGATCTGTCCTGGAGGAAGTGCAGTCAGAATGCTCCTTGGAAGCAAGAATGGCCAGACTTCATCTCACCTATTTTGGTCATGTTGTAAGAAGGGACCATTCCCTGGAGAAGGATGTCATGCTTGGTAGGGTGGAGGGTCGACGAAAGAGGGGGAGGCCTTCAGGGAGATGGATTGATACAGTGGCTGCGATGATGGGCTCGAGTATAGCATGGATTGTGGGGCTGGTGCGGGATCGGGCAGTGTTTCGTTCTGCTGTGCATGGGGTCGCTATGAGTCAGAAACGACTCGACGGCACTTAACAACAACAACAACAAAAGGCAGGGCTGGCACTATCATTTGGAATCTTTCCAGTGTGCTTAGAAACATCCCCTGGGGCCCTTTCAGAGTGCCTGAGGCCATGTCCTTTGATAGGCATGCTTACTGGCAATGACCCTTGGCAAGCCCAGTCAAGCTGGGCACACATTTCCAGAAAAAGAGGTTCCTTCAGGTTCCTCCTTGTGGTGTCAACTAGGATGTACTCAGGAGGATGAGCAAGTTCCCCAGAGCCTAGGGCAACTTTTTCCTTCTAGAAGACATTCAATGTTCAATTTGTGGATGAGATCACAGCCTGAGGGGACCGCGGTATGGGATATTGAAAAAAGTTCTTCCCTCAACCATCTTAGCCCACAGCCATTGAATTGATTCTGATTCACAGCAACTCATTGAGTTTCTAAGGCTATGAATCTTTAGAGAAGTAGATTGGCTCATCTTCCTCCTATGGAGCAGCTGGTGGGTTTGAACCTCTGACCATCTGGTTAGCAGCCAAATGTCTTACCCACTGTGCCACAAATCTCAGCACAGCAGAAGCATTGAAAATAGCAACATCAGCAATTTTGCATCACTGGATAGCTGGCTCATTTAGAACTGTTCTTAACCAACAATTCAAGACCCAGTCACGGGTGGCTACTCTTTTTATACTTTCTGTCTCATGATCTACACAGATAGGCTCAACTCTCATTTCAGGAAGAGGACTCACAGTTCCTAGGCTGGCAATCATTATGCATGAAATATAGAAACTACCTCTCCCCAGAATTTTCTACTTGAGAAATTTTGCATGGGACTATAGTTTCTAAACTATAGTTTCATAGATGTGTTCATATATCAAACATAAAAAAAATCAAAATTCTCATCAAATGTCTTTGTTTGGAACTAAGAAATAAGACTAGAACAACAAAATACTTAATATAAAAGTATCTTATGCTTTGTAGACATCACTTAGAATAATGGAAATACCCTGCCCCCTGACCAGGGTATATTTGTAAAATGCACAAATGTAGGGGCAATGTATTTTTAGTAATAAGCACTCAAAACAAAGCTAAGTCCTTTGTATTGTCACAACTACCAGGAATATTTATTTTATATAGTTAAAGAAAGTTGTAAATTTTCCTTCTGATTCCTATGGTCTAAATGAATTGTGTTGGATTTCAGGTGGAAACCACCTTGCTTGCTAACTTGAGTCTACTTCTACGTCTACAAAATTATTACTTGAGAGTCAACAGGATAAGAACATGTCTTATTATAATGATATGTTACTGTTTCTTTTAAGGAATCAGCTTTGGAGAAGTCTTAATTTTCATGATTAGAAACTAGTAGGACAAGATGGAGATCTGAACAGAGCTGAACATCACCCGCAGTAGTGGGATACTCTTCCTGTCATGGACAGCTAAAAGAAAGCATTCCTAATATAATGCCACATGTATTCTATAGGACAGCAGGCCCATAGTTCCTTGAAGATTTAGAAGGGCCCCACCATTTGCCAGGAGCTCTGGTAGCATAGTGGCTAAGATACTTGCCTGCTAACCAGATGGCTGGCGGTTCAAACCCACCAGCCACTCCTCAGAAGGAAGGTTGGGCAATCCTACTTCCGTAGTGATACTGCCTCGGAAACCCAAGGAGGGGTCGCTATGAGTCGGGTTTGACTCGACGGCACATAACAACAACAACAACAACGCCGTTTGCCACTTCATACTTGCACTTTGCCAAGCATTTACCAGCTTCCTAGGTGAGTCAGCCCAGAAAGAGTAAAAGTTCAAATACCTGGCCACACAGCAAATGCACAATCATTTTCCTTTCCATGTATAATCTTCAATGTGAATGGGCAACACCTTGGGAGAAAAAGTAATGTGCTTGCTCAAGGAAGAATACAGAACAAAGAAGTTTATTTTACACTACCCATCCAAAGAAAACAATCGCCATAAACCAGTGCAAAATGTGCAACAGAGTCAATAAATGTGTCATAGCTCTGAAAGACCAAATTGGTGACACCCACTCTGGTCCCTCTGTTGGGCGGGTGCCCCACAGACTAATGCTGGTCTCAGTTTGCACCATAGACAGTAACATTCAACCAATTTGTAGCAGGTTGTTTTTACAATCCATACCAGAAGTGTACAAGGGATAGGAAAAACCATACCGATGGATGAGAAGTGATCAGTGCTCAAAGTAAATATGAGGGACAGCATGGGCAAGAATCCACAGTCTCAGTAAATACAGTGTAACAAGCATGGGTGTATTTCAATTCTGTGGACTTAGTCTGCATATTAATTCAGCATCATACAAAATCTAGCAGGGCTATTTAGCGGTGATTGGCAAAAATGTTCACAATAACTTATGCCCTTGAGTAAGTCTATATTTAACACATTCTGTGGCTTCAAAGGTGTCAGTTTTCTGGTCTTCTTCTTCCCTTGCCATCCCTCCAGAAGGGGAGTGGTAGAGCCAGGTCAGCTTGGTAGTGGAGTCCTATAAGGAAGGACATTTGCCCAAGAGCCAGCCTTTGGGGTCCAGTGTATTCAAAACTGATCAGCAAATTGGGACTTTATTGATGATGTCTGTGCAAAGTGTGCTTCTCCCCTTTTTCAAGAAACCAGTGTCTATAACTCCTTCATGGAAAGCAGTGGTAGCCTCTGGGTCACCCCCATCACCCCAAATGCCAAGCAACAAGAGCATATCTTAAGGACTCAGAGTTGGGGAGGTTTCTGTATTGACTGCCTGGCACCTCATGGATGGATAGTTTAAACAGGCCACCTCATCAAAGGCCTTGGGCAGGCTGGAACTATTGCTTAAAAAACTAGAAAAAACCTAGTGAGAAGTGATGGTCATTAATGGACATGTGGGAAGCTGTCTTCTTCCTTGGAAACCTTGCACTCCCTTAGGTAATTTCCACAGGACTTTAGAGGCATCCTCAGGTATAAAATGTCATGCATTCATCCCTGGGGGCCTTTTCCATCTGTTCCTTCAATAAGCATTAAGTCCAGGCATATTCTAGTGTGTCTGGGATCAGTCCCTAGGAGACACTGCATGGCAACCTTTGGATCATCAACTAATTGAGAGCCCAGTGAAAGAAGGTGTAAGAGAAGCTCTTGATCTCTGGAAGGAAAGAAAAGAAAAGAAAAAGGAGATTCCCCAAACAAAGCAACCCCCTAAACCTAGTAACCTAAGGAATCATCTCAAAACAAAACTAAACCCAAACACTCCTTTACAATCAATGCACCCTCTCCTTCAACAGTCTCAGGTCATAAATTAGATTAGTCTTCCATCAAATAACTTAAAAAAAAAAGAGGAGGAATTGTAACAAGTTTTGCCTGGCTTGGGCCAGTTAGCAGCCAGTTTTTCTAGAATCTCAGTCACTGTTCAAAAATGGAGATTGAGAAGTCATGTGGATGTTGGAAGTCTTCACACAGAGGAGGAAGGAGAGGTGGGTGAGAGTGCTGGTGGGACGTAGGACCCGAGGAGGCAGAGGAGTAAGGGATGAGGCAAAGGAGCCATTGGCCCCTAGAACAGGATTGGAGACCTACGAACAGCACAGGAGAGACTGACTGATGCCCTGGCCAGGCCATGCGACTCGGTATGGCCAGGTCTCATATTGCACAGAAAGGAGGAGCCGGGCCTGGGTGGGCTGCCGGCAGATCAGTGGTCCCTGCACATAGGCAAGTTCACAAAGGTGAACACGTTGAACTCAGTCATGATGGAGAAGCACAGGAACACGCCATACAGGAAAAGACACCCGCACCCGAGCTTCTTGTCCAGCTGCCACTTGTTCAGGTGGACACCAAATACCTGCAACAACAGAACCCAGGGTCAGAGGGTACCAGAAGGGGCAGTAACAGCCAGAAGACTAGGGGCCACCCAGGGGAAGGGCCACCCAGGCTGGACTTTGGGCAGGGCACAATTCTCTCTGAGGCCACAAAATCTATTTCTCAGATTATGAATGGTCAAAATCAAGAAGAGTGGAGTTAGAGCTACTGGCTGAGAGAAAAGTTTAAAAAAAAAAAAGTGATGGGACTAATAAATGTAGTATAGCAGCCATCATTCACTCTGGAATCTAGTCCCCACACCCTCTGTGCTTGGCATTACCTGTTCTCTTCCACCATCCCCAAGTTCATTGCCCATTGGAACATTCCATCCACCATCTGGCTCTCCCTGGGGGCACTGTTTCCACACAGCCCTCTCAGGTGTGGACATTTCTCATCCACATTCTTACAATGGAGGCAAGAAAGCTGTCCTCTTTCCTTTTCATTGCTGCTTCCAAACCACTTTCCTCTTCCCCTCCCCTTGACTTAGAATCGAGTCTTCCTACTGTCAACGCAACCTCCCTCCATGTTGTAGTCTACTCTCCAATCCTAGTTGGCCTCTATTCCCTGGAGATTTTTAGTGCCTGTTCATGACTATGCTCTGCACAACTCCCTTATCCTTCTTTTTGTTGTTAGGAACTGTCAAATCAGATCTAATTCATAGTGACCCTACGCACAACAGAATGAAACACTGCCTGGACCTGCACCATTCTCACAATCATTGCTATGTGTGAGCCCATTGTTGCAGCCACTGTGTCAATTCACCTCATTGAAGGTCTTCTTTGTCCCTGGCCCTCAACTTTACCAAACTTGATATCCTTCTTCCGGGCCTGGTCCCCCCTGATAACATGACAAAAGTAAGAGAGACAAAGTCTCGCCATCCTTGCTTCTAAAGAGCATTCCAACTGCACTTCTTCCAAGACTGATTTGTTCATTCTTCTGGCAGTCCATGGATGTTCAGTTTTCATCCCCAACACCATAATTCAATGCATCAATTCTTCTTCATATAATAAATTTTAAACAATTTAAAATTTAAATAAAAAAAATTTAAATCTTTTGCAGCAGATTTGCCTAGTTAAATATGTCATTTGATTTCTTGACTGCTGCTTCCATGGGAGTTGATTGTAGATCCAATTAAAATGAAGTCCTTGACAAATTTGATCTTTTCTCCATTTTGTTTTCTATATGTTGAGGTGTAATCCATACTAAAGGCTGTATTCTTTGATCTTCATCAGTAAGTGCTTCAAGTCCTCTTTACTTTCAGCAAACAAGATTGTGTCATCTGCATATTGCAGGCTGTTAATGAGTCTTCCTCCATTCCTGATGGTACATTCTTCTTCATAAAGTATAGCTTCCTGGATTATTTGCTCAGCATACAGATTGAGTACATATGGTGAGAGGATACAACCTTGACATACTCCTTTCCTGATTTTAAACCATGCAGAACCCTTGTTCTGTTTGAACAACTGTCTCTTGATTGATACACAGTTTCCTCAAATGCACAATTAAGTGTTCTGGAATTCCCATTCTTTGCACTGTTATCCATAATTTGTATGAGTCACACAGTTGAATACTTTTGCATAGACAATAAAACACAGGTAAACTGGTATTCTTTGCTTTCAGTCAAAATCCATCTGACATCAGAAATGATATTCTTGATTCAACATCCTCTTCTGAATCTGGCTTGAATTTCTGACAATTCCCTGTTTATAAACTGTTGCAACCAGTTTTGAATTATTTTCAGCAAAATTTTACTTGTGTGTGATATTAATGATACTGTTTGATAACTCCCTTATTCTCTTGGATTTCCTTTCTTTGGAATGGGCACAAATACGGATCTCTTCCGGTAGGTTGGCCAGGTATCTGTCTTCCAAATTTCTTGGGATGAATGATTGAGTGCTTGCATCACTTTGTTGAAACATCTCTATTTGTATCCTGCCAATTCCTGGAAACTTGTTTTTTGCCAATGTCTTCAGTGCAGCTTGGACTTCTTTCTTTGGTATAACTAGTTCCAGATCATATGCTACCTCCTGAAATGTCAACCAATCCTTTTTGATCCAGTGACTGTGCATTCTTTCTTTCATCTTTCTTTTTGCTTCCTGCATTCTTCAATATTTTCCCCATAGAATCTTCAATATTACAACTTGAGGCTTGAATTTAAAGGTTGATCATGTTCCTTCCTTTTGGTTTTCTACCTGCAGGTCTTTGTGCATTTCATTAAAATATTTTACTCATCTTCTGAGCTTCCCTTTGAAATTTTCTGTTCAACTTACATGTTATAATATCTTTCATTCACTTTAGCTACTATCCATTTGAGAGCAAGTTTCAGAGTCTCTTCTGACATCCATTTTGGTATTTTCTGTCTTTTTAATGACTTTTGCCTTATTCTGACTGATGATATTGAGCTTCTCCATCATCTCTTCCCACAGATGCAGGCTATTTGATTCCTGTATATTCCATCTACAGAGGCCCACATGCATAGTCACCATTTATGTTGTTGAAAAATGGTATTTGCAATGAATTTAGTCTTCCAACATTCTGTCATGCAATCTCTGGGGATATTTCTATCACCAAGGCCATATTTTCCAACTACTGAAGCTTCTTTGTTTCCAATTTTTGCATTCCAATCACCAGTAATTATCAATGCATGTTGAATGCATGTTTGATTAATTCCAGACTGCAGAAGTTGGTAAAAATATTCAATTTCTTCATCTTTGGCTTTAGTGGCTGGTGGGTAAATTTGAATGACAGTAGTATTAATTGGTCTTCTTTGTAGATGTATAGATATTGTCAATGATAGCATTATACTTGAGGATTGATCTTGAAGTGTTCTTTTTAATAATGAATGTGACAACATTCCTTTTCAATTTGCCATTGCTGGCATGTTGTTGTTGTTAAGTGCCGTTGAGTTGTTTCCGACTCATAGCGACCCCATGCACAGCAGAACGAAACACTGCCCGATCC